CTTAAAAAAATTTTAAAAATTAATATTAGAAGCACTATAACATTCAGTCAATGATTTATGCTCATTTTTCAGTAAAATATATTTTACATAGTTTATGTAATTTTTGAATAAAAAATAAAAATTATAAATTAGTCTCCTAAATTAATATCAATGATTTATTTACTTAGTAAAATAGAGGTTTATAAGAACAAATTAAGTGATTTGAAACTAAAAGAATTATTATAATTATGATTAGTGAATAATTTAAAACTTAGTTAACTTTTCTTTTATAAATTAATCAAGTATTTTATAAAGAGAGATATTGATGTTTTATTAGACAATAGAAATGGGACATATGAGAAGTGAATGGATGTGATATATTATTCATGATATTTTTTAAATATATATAATTATATTTTTTTATTAGATATGATAATAATTGAGTTTGAAAAAATTCTTCACTGTCCAGATTGATAAAAAATCTTTTTAAAGGACCGGTGTAGTATTGAAAATCAATACCATATTAAAAGGTTGTTAAATCAATACTGTATTGATAATTTATGAAAAATTATATGAATAAATATTTTACAAATTTAATGGTCGTCAATATTAATAAAATATCTTTCTAAAATTCAATAGGGTATTGATTCTGCAATAGCAAAAATATCAAGTACGGTATTAAATTGACAATTATAATATCGCTACGGTATTGAAGCTATACAATGGGTAAAGTTTTCACATTCCTACACCGGCCCACGGATTTATTTCTAAAATATATATACGTCAGGTCCATACAACCAGACAAAGCTTTGGTCAAGGCCTACGGATCTCTGATGAAGATAAACATTCTAGCGGTTATTATATTAGTTAGAGATTGGAAATAACTCACCAACTCACTCACGGGAGATTTTATTCACGCCTCAATATTAATATTCGCGAATTTTGAATAATTAAAAAAAAATGCAACATTATATATAATTTTTTGAACTATGCTTTAAATTTGAAATTATTGAGAAGTCCACATGGCTAGTAGTCATCTGTAGTCCTAATAAGCCAGTGCGATATAATTAAATTTTGTCTAATTAAAATATGTAATAATGCAATTAAGAGATTATTTTTAATTATATTTTGACTTTTTTGTGGATTTATTTGCGAAAAAAAGAAGTAAATATTGAGTTAATACTCGGCCAACGAAATATTAGTTTTTTAAAGAAATATTCTAATATTTTCAAAATTTATTTGATATAGGATTAAATTAATTAAATTTTTTTTTAATTTATCTTGCTAAAAGTAATTGAACAAACTCTTAGATTCATAATTTTCAAACTCCATGCATTTTGTGATCCAAATTAAGAGGCATCATGATAAGAGAGATTTTTTGAAGAAATTAGTGCTAACCCGATTTTCTAGCCAAAAACATTACACAAACCTGAAGATTTTGCTCAGAAAGAAAGAAAGAAATAAATAAAGATTAACCGTTTTTAAAAATGGAGCCGTTTAACAACACTAAAAGCAATAATAAGACGACTTTAACAAAGCCAACGCTTTGATCTAGATTGTGAAATGAATAAATAAAACCTACAAATAACTACGATTTATCAGTTTCTTTTATTTAAATTGAAAGTGATATTCATTTGAATTTTTTTTTCCCTTTTGACATTTTAACTTTTCCTATTAAAGATCAACATTTTTTCTATAAAAATTAAAATATTTTCAATAGAAATTGAGATTAATTTCCATTATTTTATACAGAATAATTAATAAAATTCAAAATATAAAATGCCGAAACGCACATAAATATTATTAAATAGAAAAAAAAATAATATTTTTGCCATTTAAATTAATTCGGTTTTCATAATTTTAGAGTTGAATTAATTAGCAATTGAGTAGTGTTGTCAAACGGCTCGTTTTGAGCCGATTTGTAAGAAAGGTTTAACTCAATATTTTATCCAGAAAAAATATGCAATCCTAAAGATTTTTCTCGCAAATGGCACAAAGGTTTGATCATCTATTAGCCAAATCTCGGTTGGAGGTATTTAAAAATCGGCTTAAATTGAACCCTTTAACAACATCCCAGTTAAGAATGGTAGTTTTCCTATTTTTTTAAAAAAATTTGCCATGATGTTTTAGCTGAGCAGTCATCGGAAAAGATGTTGTATTTTTAATTTTAAGGGAAAGAGAAATTTTTTAAAATTAGGAATTGATGAAAGCATTTTTAATTTGAAAACTATATTCAGAAGAATGCGAAATAATATTATCGTTTATTCTAGCTTAAAAAAAATTTTTTTTTTTAGGGGGGGGGGGGTTGATTTACTACTCTAACTTTTATAGGTTATATATATCCTTTTTTTTCAATGTCTGAATTAGGATTTAAAATAAATTACTCTTTAAAGGCTACATCTATTACAATAGGACTAGAAGTGATTTTGATATCAGTAAAAATACGTCACAATAACCTAGAGGAGAGTAGAAATAGGTTTTACATGATAAATTAAAGATAGAAAAATTTGAAAAGCTGTAAATTTGATGGATAAGGATATCTTATAATAATTACGCTCTTGCTATCCGATTGCGCATTTGCTGTCTGATGGATTCCCTTGTCAAATCATTCTCGTCATAATCAATAATTCCTAATATTTAAAAATATATATATTTCAAGCTAGGAAAAATAATTTCATTTTATTCACCCTTTCCTAATTTTTTTTCAAATTTTGGGCACTTCCCCCGCTTCCGAATTAATAAGGATTCATGAAAAGATATTTATACACTATGTAATTTGTTATTTACTTAAAAATAGTATCTCAAATTTTGGTTCTGCTTGTAAGCACTCCCCGAAGTAAAATTCAAGACAAATTCCTTTTTAATAATCTATTACAAATAACAAATCCAATTAGAAATTTTTTCCCTATCACCCATTTACTTTTAGTATGGAGGGGTATATGAAGCGAGATCTTTATTGAGATATTATAGGGGGTAGGGAAACCACTTGTCCTTAAATTAAAACAGGGAGTATAAGTTAATTTGAGGAGTGTGGGGTAACCTTTCAGCTCGTAAAAGAGGGTACACCGCCATTGGCTTATGGAGGAAGAAATGTCCTTATTACCGTTATAAGTCAATTTATGTTGGTTTATGCATAAATAACCACATATTTGTTGGCAACATTATACAATTTATTGTTGTCATCCCGAGGAGGAATTATTACCATGATATCAGTACCTTTCCATAAAAAAAATTTATTAACCCATATATTGGAAATTTAACAAGGATTGTCAATACTCAACTATATAATATACTCTCAGCTCACTTATTTTCTCCATTTAATTTTCGATTCAAGATTATATGAGATAGAAACCTTTCTATTTCTCTTTTGTTTAAAATAATCGGTGGCATAGTGCTCGAAATAAGTCTTTTTTATTCAAGGGTGCTAAAATTCTGGATCAAAAAATCTTAAAAACTTTAAAAAATGCAAATTTTTATTAAAAAACACAAAAAATTAAAAGATCAGGGAGTTCAATCTCTTTTCGGAAGGATTACTTCCTTTGCATTTTATGTTCAATCTAAGGCACACATGAACGCAATACTTTTGCATCTCTTTTTAGCATCTTTGTGGCTGCAAAATCAAAAATATAGATTCAATAAATATCTTTGAAGCTATTGTGGATTATTTGAAAAGGGGTATTCAGATAAACGAGAGTTAAAATCTTATGATTCAAATAATAATTAACATGCCTAGTGGGTGGATCTATGTCTTATCTCGAAAAAATCAGTTTAATAAGTATTTTAGCTGGTTTGTTTGGTAAATCAAACTATTTACCAAGGGTCACAAAGTTAGTTAATAATATAAAAAATTTTTTTAGCATAAAACTTACGAGCTGAAAGGAATGTCAGGGTTAATAAAATTATCATAAATGACGACAAAAACATCTTTCTTTTTTAAAAAATTTTTTTATAATGTTAAAAATAAATTTAATTTGTTCTTTTTATTAGAACGTTCCAATTAATTTATTGACTTCTATTTTTAATGAAAAAATAAAATATTTTGTTATCAATACAATATTATTGTTAATTAAAAAAGAAAATTAAATCAGACATTTTAATTAGCTTTTAAAGTAGACAACAATATTACATTTCATTACTTGATTATGTTGAAAAAAAATTATTGGGGAATTTAAATGCTTGTATGAAAATTTATATAAAAGAGCCTGAAGTTAAGAGATCTCAGGTACTTAACTCTCTCACCAGATAGAAGTTGCAGTGATTATAGTTCTTTTAACATTAGCGTTCAGAGACATACATAAGAACACTTTTTTCCGCTTAAGTTAATTTATTAGGCTAAAAACTTGGCTGAGTTGTTTTGGAGTTGATATAGAATAAAACAATCGCCACCCGGCCCAACTAACTTATAATTAATCATAATTTCTTAACCCTATCCCAAAATACAAAATTAAATTTTTCGCTCAACAATCCCCTATACGTGTTCAATTCTTTGACGTTCCTTCAAAAATACAAAAAGTTATTTTGGTTCTCTTAATTTAAAACAAATAATTTCTGTTTCTATTCCTTGGAATAACCATAGAGTAAATTAAAGATTTTATAAATGTATCAATAAAACAAATATAGAATGGAATAATACATATTATAGATCTGCAAAGCCTAGCCTGCTAAAGATTTTTTCACAAGTTTTCCTGCACGATCCCTTAAATATTTTGCCAGGTCTGGCAAGTTCAATTTTACGAAACGTCAGGCCAGGCCCGTTAAAATTTTATAAAAAGATGATCGCGGCTAATAATACTTCAGTATCATATCAGACTTCACATCTCTATTTTAATATATCAATATTGCCATAAAATTATTTTATGTCTGTAAAATTCAAAAATTACAATTACTTGCAAAATCTATTTATTTCCCATAAAGGAGAAATTTTTTTCTATTTTCATAGTATACAATAAATAATTAAATATGATTAGAATCAATATAATATTAATATAATAAGAAGGATGCTATATTTTCAACTAAAAAAATATCATTGCGATGAAAAATATAAAAATATCACAATATTTTTTTTTTTAAAAATTATGAAAATTTTGATGACATGATTATGGTTTAATTTAAATAAATGTGTATTTTTAAAAATACTCATCACTATTACAAAGGAATTTTGTAGTATATATTGTAGTAATATATATATTATATTTTCAAATAACTAGGATCTAAGTTAGCTTTATTATTCCTGTGTGAGGTAAGTTAATAAATAAGGGTAAATCAGTTATTATAGGATGGAGATCTAAGGTTGTCTTGATTTCTTGGATCGGTCAATTGAGGTGTATCATCTAATAAAATGAAAGAGGAAAAAAAAAATTGTTTAAGAAAATATATTTCTGATTATTTGACTTAAATTCTATCAAATTTTCCTTTCATATATTTATAGTGGGTGTATAAGAAAAATGACAATTTTTAACATCTTTAATCTAAAATAAAAAGATTTTATTTCCCCTTTAATGATCTAGACCTATCAAATTAATTTATTAAATAACAATCTGACGAAGATAAATCCCTGGAAAATAAGCACCCACAAAATCATAAAATAAGATGTTCATTTAAAAAATTTATTTAAATTGAATTTCCATCCCATTCCTTAACTCATTGAAGTTATCTCGCGAATTTATGAATTAATGTAAAATTGAGTTAATTTTAGTAATGTATCTTGGAAAAGAGAATTTGATAACGTTCATTCCTAAATTCGGCGAGAAAATTCGTGGGCAAATTTCATTGAGAGAGGATGGGGTATTAAAATAAGTTATGAGCAAAACTAATGTTCATTTGTTAGATAAAAAAAAAAGATGAAGCCAAATTTACATTTTTTTTTCTCTAATAAAATGATTTCCATAGACATTAGTTTTTAATAAAATACTCAAACTCCATTTCATATTTCACTAAATTTAGTCCACATGATGCCTTTATAACATTCCTAATTTTCAAGTTAAACTAAGCCAAATAATCACATTGATTAATGCATATTATACCAATCCACATATTAGCCCCAAACATCCATTGGGTATATTATGAACGGGGGAAGAGGGGGAGTAGAATAAGATGACTATAACTTACGATGGGTAGACTTTTGAAGATTAGGGTTATAAAAATGGGGCTAAATAGGAGCCTGTTGCCACTAAATTATTTTTTCTCATGGCTGCCAATATCAGTTCTCTTCTAGTAGGTTTCGTTTCAAAAAAAAATATATAACCCTATCTATCCCATGTATAAACAAACTAAATCTAGTTCATGCCAAATCTAAACCTAGTTTCAGTAAATTCCATAAAATATGGATGTCACCATAAGGACTCAGACCAAAAAAGTTTTTTTTTTTTCAAAGACACAAAAATATTTTTCTATAATATGAAAACAAAGCAACATACAATCAAAAATATTTGTTTATAAATTTCGTTTATTTTTGAATATATATTATAAATTCAAAAAAAAATTTGTTTCTTGTAACTTTAAAATATATTATTTTATGCTTTTGTCACGTTGAATGTTACTCGACATTCCAAAAAAAATTAAAATCTTATTGATTACTGTAAATATTATTACTCTCTTCTCTATAATATTATTATAGCTACATATACCTATCGTTGACTTTTCTATAAAAAATTTTTAAAATATGTTTCATAATAAAATTTTTGCAACTGACGTTTTATACCATTTAATTATAATCTATATTAGCTGATGAAATTTTCAGTTAAGATGTTTTCATCCCTAATTTACCTCTATACCATTATGAAATATTATAACTATGCATTTCGTCTGTTAAAGGATTCCGGAAAGTTTCAATGATAATGGAAGTCATTTTTTTAAATGGGGAAACATTTAAATTTAACTTTATTATTTTTTTCCGATTGTAAAATTTAAAAATTTATTTAACTTGAATTATAAGCCGATCTATTTTTGGTTCTTAAATCATCATATGATGAATAGTCAGGTTTCCTTGCATTTTCAGATAGAGTAGTAGGCTTGGGTGATAACTTAGGTTGTTGAAATCGATTATCTGTTTATTAATCAAATTTTTTTTTCCCAATTAAGGCAATTATAAAATAAAAAAATTTAACTTGTTTAAACATCCTAATATAATAGATTTACTAATCTTGCAAACTTTCTTTGCCACGTAAATTATTTGAACAAATTATTTATTTTTTAAATGTAGAATAATATAATTTGTATAGAATTCAATAGATATATATTTATATGTATTACTATCGAGAGAAGGTCTTAAACTATCATCAAGTCCTTTGTAACTTTCGAATGCATCAAAATTAGATTTAGAGGAATAACCTTCCAAATTTCCCTTGTTAGCTGGAATAGATTGTGGCTTGCTCTCGTTAAACTTTGGAAAAACTGCGCTAAATAGTTTGAATCGCATTAAGTTTTATTAGTTAGCCAAATTTTTAAGATATAAAAACAAAACGGTAAAAAAAAATTGAAAATCCGGGTTCTGGTTAGCATTTATAGGTATCATTTTATTAATCGCGCTTCACGTTTAAAGATATTTCAAAAATGTAATATCACTATTTTTAGAATTATAGTGCTTTATTTACAAGTTAAGAAATATCTCTTTGGGGGAGGGGTTAAAGCTTAACTTTATCACATTCCACATCTTCAAATTTTTTTTTCCCTTTATGTCAATATGAAGTACTCCTTCTTTTGCATTTTAGCATAATAAATAAATGCCAAAAGAGCCAAAAAACAACAATTTTGAGGGCCCTTTTGACCGAACAACAAATCAGCTTCAAAATTTTATATTATAATTTTAAATTATTTGAAGATTATTGGTCATAATGAGGACCCCTTTTAAATGTTTTAGAAAATATTTATAATTATGTATGTTTTAAATTATATTTTTCATGTTAGTTTATACATAGTTCGAAAGTTAGTTTTAGTTTTAATTACTTGATATAATGTCAAAATAAATCATTTTTACAACATAAAAAAAAAATAGTACTTCAAATAAAAATTAGAGTTGTGTTGGCATTAAATATTGGATCGGCACGAATTAATTAAAAGTGTAGATCAATGAAAACAGCTGGGGATGCTATTTTGATTACCCATTATTATTAAAGTGTTTAAACGAGAGGCCTATTTATTCCTAGCCTGATCATCAATAATAAGGAAGCAAGTTATCAATTTAATTGTAGTTTTTAACATATATGGGTTACCAAAATGGCGGGACCAGCTGATTTGCATTCAACGACACTTTAAATGCATTATTATGAATTTCGTCAGTCTAGGTATTATTATATGTAATTGATCAGCACCAATATTTAACGTTTTAGTCAATATTTTTTTAACCGGTTTAATATTTTTATTGTTTTGGTTATTTTATGATTGTATATATTAGGGCTGCACCGATATTTAATATCGGATTGGATCGGCACTGATATTTAGTGTTTTCAAAAAATATAGGGTCGGGTTGGTCCTTTTTTAAAAAAGCGATCTGATATTTTTTTTATTGTTTTTAGTTATATTATAATTGTATATATAATCATATAATTGTTTTTTATTTTATAAATAATTTCATAATAATAAATTAATGAAAAGGAACTAATATGCAATTTATTTGTTGTAAATGCAATGTTTAAAAAAAATAGTTTAAAATTTTACATTATTTTTTGTTATATTATCTGCAAAAAGAAAACGATATTAAAACATCTAATGTGTTGCTGCTAATGGGCCTCATTAGTCAATTTTAACTCAAAATTTTGACCAGCATAATTATAATTACCCATGCTTATTGATTTTTCCATCAGAAAGATTTGGATTTCTATTGGCAAAATTTCAAGGCATATGCCCATAAACATTGCAAATATTTTGAATGAAAATATTAACTTATGAAAAATAAAAAAAATACACTTAATCATCCGTGAAAGTTAGTTGGTATTTAAAGTAGAAAATATTGATATTTATAAAACCTTGGTTCAAAGATAGATAGTAAATAAATAAATATTGGATTGGTAAAAAAAAATTAGTGGATCAGCATAGCCATAATAAAAATTAATAGTCAATTGAGGCCATATATATTCTTAATTATTGTTATGTAATATATGATTAATGATATATTCATTTCAATATGAATAAATCAATTAAAAATATAGCATATAATTTTACATTTCTTTCATCATTTCTTGGTAAGAACCAGGATTATTATATTGTCTCATTTTTTCAGCTAATGGACTGTTTGGTAGTTGCAATATCATTGATTTACATTTGCCCATGTAAGAAAATTTACCTATAACATATCCCATTACACCAGTTGCTAGTATTTTAGCCCAAGCAAGATTTTTGGAAAGATACCCTAAATAATTACAAATATATAGAACAAAAAAAAGAATAATTTTCTAAACCTGTTTTAACCGCATAACCAGTTGCTAACATTGCAAGTCCTGATAAAGGCAAACCTTCATTCAAATTATTTAAAAGATAATATTATTATAATATAAAACAAGGTACAAGTATACTTCGATTATAAAAAGCCTGTCTATTGCATTCTCTTAAAGTCCTAATTTCTTCTGGCGTTAAAACAGGAAATGGCTATATTATTAAATAAAATAGACGTCTACAATAATAATAATGGTTTAAACCGGAGCTATGGAGTATTGTTGTCTTTGATCATCTGGATGATTAGTTGTATTTCTTTCCATAATAATTAAATTCCGCAGAAAATAAATTGATTGAGTTTATGTGACGTTGATAGGTAGGCATATTATGTAATATTTCATGAATAAAAAAATTGCCTGATCTAGACCCGTAGCAGCTTGGGGGTGGAGGTTATTTTTGAGTTTGAACATTCCTTAATATACCTATTTAAATACAATATATTAGCTAAGACCTTATTATTTTTATAAAACAATTAAATTAAAAAATTATATATCAATTTTTCTAGCTAGAATTTCTGGTTGTGTTTTATTTTAAGTTATTTTGAATGTAAATTTTGACTTATCACATAAAGCATTTATATGCTCCAAACATAATTTTTTTCCCCTAATTTAACAAAAATATTTAGTCTCATATTTACTGCTAGGACACATACTGTACCTTCCTCTTGAGTGGATAAGATTTATATTATGAACTTTTCATAATAAATTTCTTTCAAAAGTCAGGACAATCTGATTATTTTTGTTGTACCTCAAAATATGGCTTAATAACTTCCAATGATATTTTATATATGAAATTACTTCTTTTAAGCAGAGTTGTACAAAAGATCTTCTTTGAAGATTTTTGAGCGAGATCTAGCTCAAAAATTTGAGCAAGATCTTTGAAGATCGTAAAATTTGAAGATCTTTTATTTATAAAAAAATTTGAGCAACGATCTTAAAAGATCTAGATCTTTGAATATCGTAAAATTTGAAGATCTTTTATTTTAAAAAAATTTTGTGTAACGATCTTCAAAAATCTTCATGATATTTATTTTTTTACCCCTTTATTAAAAGCCCAGATGTTTTTCAATTTTTATCAAGGCAGGAGGAGAGGTATAAAACATAAAAGAAATATTATATTAATAAAATTGAAAAACATCTGGGCTTTTAATAAAGGGGTAAAAAAATAAATATCATGAAGATCTTTGAAGATCGTTACACAAAATTTTTAAAAAATAATAGATCTTCAAATTTTACAAAATTTTTAAAAAATAAAAGATCTTCAAATTTTACGATCTTCAAAGATCTAGATCTTTTAAGATCGTTGCTCAAAATTTTTTATAAATAAAAGATCTTCAAATTTTGATCTTTGAAGATCTTTTTATTTTGAGCAAATGTACAACTCTGCTTGTAAGTGAATATTTTTGTGTTTACTATATGATCTGTGTCTACATGAGCGGGAGGAGTAGGAACAGTTTGCATCCTATTTTTTGAGGGGGGTATGGGGTAGGCTGCTTTAACGCGGGTAGGAAAAAAAAATTTTTTTTGTGGGGGGGGGGGGGGTTATCTAATAAATTTGGAGATCAAATAGGATAAAATTTATTGCTGTAAAAATTAATACTTTTATTATAGAATTATTATAATACAATTCATCGACCAAATCTATATATTGAAAACAATCATAATTTTGCTATTCTTTGCAATGTAATTTAAAAGGTTTCGATATTTCAGCAACCTCATAATGCCATAATAATTAATTCATTGTATAGAGGTTTTAATTGAATTTTTTATCTAAAAATAAATTCTTTATATTCACAAAATATCGATAGTTGGTAGTATAGATAGATTAATTTAAGTTATTCTTTTCTAAATTTTCTGAGAAGAGTATCAATAAATTAAGAGGGTGAAAATAATAATAAAAAGACACCGCCACCAAAGGCGGCGTTAATTTTTTAAGGGGGTAGGCAAAGGTTTTTGAAGGGGGTTTGCATCCAATGAAAAAACTGTCATGCATACACTGCAGTGACGAGGCGTCAAGTTTACTACTAGGGAAGCAATCAAAAAAATTTTTTATTTTATTTATTAGTCAAACCATAAAAAATTAAGATTTATAAATAAGCGGAATTCGTCTTTGTTTTTGAGTAAAATGATCAAGTACTGAATTATAAAAGTTATACTAGATTTTAAATTTTTCAACATTTTGGATATCACTTGATAGTCCAATAAAAGTAGTACTATTTTCTAAATGATGTTTTAATAGCAAATTTTCTTCCGTGAGCAAATAAATTAATTCAATATAATTTCCTCTATTTATTGAATTAGGTGATTCATCATCCCCACGGAATGCGAGCTGCTGAACTCCAAGAAAACATATAGAATTGATTAAAATTTTCAATATTTCTCTATTTGATTTAACTTTCGAATTATGCTGTTCGATTGATATTTTGCGCATCGAATCTATCATATTTTCAATACGAATTTCGCCAGATGTTTTTAATTGAATCATCGACTGCAAATGAGCTGTTGATTCTTCATGTCGTTTAACTGCCTTTGAAAAATTATTCATATCCGAAAATCCTCTATCATTCCAAACATATTTTTCCTTTGGGAATAATAAGCATGACCAACAATATAGAGAATTAGAAAATTCACATCCAGTGAGCCATTCATATTTATCGATAGAAAAATTACGAATGCAAGATTTTATTTCTTTTTTTAAATTTCTTAAAATTGGCTTTGGTCTTCCTTTTTCAATAATTAATTTTTTGGTATCAAAATTTCTTGAGCTAAATGATAATATTAATAAATTTTCAATAATATAATTACAATTATTAAACATTAATTTAAAGAAAAAAAAATTTTTTTTAAAAAAGTAAGAAAAAAAATTTAATATAAAAAATTTATTTTTCTTTTATAAAAGAATAAGCAATTTTTTATTTGCTTCCCCAATGCTTATTTTTTAATCGTAAAATTAAACAATATCATAACATGATTTTCTATTTATTTATTGAAAAAATAAGCAATATTAGACTTGCTGCCCTCTTGTATATTTTTTTAACGTAATAAAAAAATTACACCAAAAAAATATCGTATGAATCATGATTTATTAGTATATTTATTATAGGAAAATAAGCAATATTAAATTTGCTTCCATCATTTTTTAACATAGTAAATATAATAGTAAATTTTTTTACGTAGTAAAAATAATAGTAAATTTTTGAACTTAGTAAAAATAATAGTAAATTTTTTAACGTAAATTTTTTATCGTAAATTTTTTATCGTAGTAAAATATTATAAATCTTTTTAACGTTATAAAAAATATATTAATTATTTTAAGGAAGTAATTTTATTTTTTTTTAGCACAGTATAAAGATTATATTAAGTTTATCTAAGAATTTTGTAAAAAAAATTTCAAGGGAAGCTTCGTCCCTGATACACTGTATATGATGTGAATTAATTGATATTATGTTTAGAAGTGTGTAAGACCTGCTTAAAATTGTATAATTTTTTGTCATTAAATACACCATATATAACCTACCTTTAGTCATATTATAAAATATTATAATTTCCGGATTTCTTGTTCATTTGTAACAACATTTTTATTATGGTGGAAAGTTGATAGCATTATGACATCTTTTTCTTTTTTTGGATATGATAATAATGTAATTTTTTCATATCCAACTCAAATATATGAAAATTGATATTATATTTTAAATAAATTTTATTATATTTACTTTCAGAACATATGAAAATCATAATAAATGATAATAATTTGAATGAGATAATTGTAAATTAAAAAAAAAACACAAAGCCCAATCAGTCACAAAATGTTTATATCTTAAAAACTATTCAGCCAAAATATATGAAATTTGGAATATAGATTCTAAGATATAATATATTTGATGAAGCTCTTGAAAATTCCAGTTCATAATAATAAACCTTTTTTTATGTAATATCAATTCTAGCAATGGGGTCTCATATACCCCACCGGCGTATTGAAAGGTTAAGCAACACTACTAATTACATATTTAAATATATATAAAAAACAATTACAATTTAAAGGAACTACAAAATCTGCATTATACTCACATTAAATATGTAAATTCTTTGCAAAAATTTTTTTCAACTATCACAACAAATATGAAAGTAAAATAAATTTTCATCAAAACAAAAAAGAAAATAATGACCTTAATTCAGTTTACCCTCTCCCATTTATCAAAAAAAATACTAATAGTAACAATATAAACATTTTAAAAAAACAATTATTATATGATTATCGTATTATAATTTGGGGAAGGAACCTAGATAGGAATGGGTAGTGTTGTTAAACGGCTCATTTTGAGCCGATTTTTAAAAACGGCTAACTCAATATTTTGGCCTGGAAAATATAGCCTACGCCTTGAGATTTTGCTTAGACAGCGTCTACACGACAGGATTTTCATTGGATGCAAACCCCCTTCAAAAACTTTTGCCTACCCCCCTAAAAAATTATCGCCGCCTTCGGCGACGGTGTCTCTTTATTTTTATTTTAACCTTTATAATTATATTGATACTCTTTTCAGAGAATTTATAAAGATAACTTAAATTAATCTATCTCTACCAACTAATTTTCTGATTATAAAGAATTTATTTTTTAGATAATAAATTCAATCAAAACCTCCATTATTTACAAAGAATTAATTATTATGCCATTATGAGCTTGCTGATGATACCAGAAAGTTTTATTTGGAAAACAATGTGTATGATTGTTTGCAATATATAGATTTGGTCGATAATTGTGTTATAATAATTCTATAATAAAAGTATTAATTTTTACAGCAACAAATTTGTCCTATTTCATCTCAAAATTTAAAAGATAACCCCTCAAAAAATTTATCCTACCCCCATTAAAGATGCTTACCCCCTACCCCCTCAAAAAATAGGATGCAAACTGTTCCTACCCCTCCCGCGCTGCTAATAGATGTCCAAGCCTTTGTTCCTTCTACAAACAAAATCGTCAGGCTTGAGTTATATTATTCTGGATGAAATAGTGAGTTAGCCGTTTTTAAAAATCGGCTCAAAACGAGCCGTTTAACAACACTTGGAATGGGCATACTAATAATTTGTTTTTTAAAAAAGACGATCTGTGAATAATGTTGTTAAACGGCTCGATTTTTTAAAAACGGTTAACCTAATATTTTAGCAAAATAAATTAAGCAAGCCTCGAGATTAAGTTTAAAGATTTTCAAACCTTTCAGCCTTCTATGAGCAAAATCTAGGCTTATGAAATATATTTTTTGGCTAAAATACTGGGCTAGCCTTTTTTAAAATCGGGTTTTTTAACAACACTATCTGTG